CCAGTTCATTCACATCACAGCCCACTTTAATTTCAAAACCTTGTTACAGGTCATCCTATTGATGAATGCATGCGCCATATTTTCAATTACCGTCCATTCATACTGGTGGATTATGAATAAATGAATGAATGTTGGAGAGAGAACAGCCAAAAACAAAAATGAACAAAGAACAAGCAGTATACAATCATCAGGTTAATGGCAGGTTAAGCATTACAGAACAAGAAAGAAAAGGCAACTAGCAAAGACAAGGAATCGTAGGGAAGCCTGGGAAATTTTGAAGAGTGGAAAGAATATCAATAAAAGTTTAAAAGGGGGGTAACACAAAAATATATTACCAGGACACATGACCATGATGCAGTTAGGTCTGTAGGTTTTTTGTTTATTTGTAGTTTTGCCTCTTTACACTACCACCTCCGCATGTGTCTGATTTGGCAGCTCTTAAATGTTCTGTTTTGCCCTTCATTTACATCCACATCTCATAACATCCCACAAATATATCAAACAAAAACACTGGGAATGAACTTGAAAAATTGAGGAAACATGGCTCACCTGGCCATGAAACTGTCAAGGTTCCTGGGTGGTTCACCCAGTGTTTTCCAGTGTTTCAGCAGAAACTGCTTAGCCCACCTGTCTCTCAGGGGCCTGCACAGGCTATCGTTTCAAGGCTGTTGCTGCCTCTCAAGCCTCCAGAGTGGCCTCTACCAATGCCTGAAGTGGGAAGAGCATCAAGGTAGATAGATAGATAGATAGATAGATAGATAGATAGATAGATAGATAGATAGATAGATAGATAGATAGATAGATAGATAGATAGATAGATAGATAGATAGATAGATAGATAGATAGATAGATAGATAGATAGATAGATTAGATAGGGACAAACAGTTTTTAAATTGTACCCAAGTCTGTCTTCTGAAGAGTTTGTTAATAAGTTTCTGAGTATGTTTAATAATGGTTCTTGACGCAATGGTTCATAGATTATTTACAACTTTTTTCATTAACTTTCTCAGGCAACCATGTAGAGCAAATTAGCCTTTTCCTATTCGAAGCACCTTAAACACTCCTGGTTTTCGGTCCTCACAGACTTAGTACTCATAATCCCAATATCTATTGTTCTAAAGATTGCATCTCCAGGCAACACGTTTTCACTCCCAAAGCGTAACATTTTATGCTAGGTGACAAATCGTCAGTATATTACGCCTTTGGCCACCTAACACATCCCTATATTAAAATGAGGAAACATAAGAACTGTTTGGAATAAATCTACACATGTACATTTATTTGACTTAAATCGCTTTGGAAAACACTGTCTAACACGATTAAGGTGGTGGTTAAAATTAGGGATAAGGTTAGGGTTAGGCCCGGAATACACAGCTGGAATGTGTGTTACTGCGGGAGTGTCATTCAATTAGATTTCATCCACAATCCGGCACATTACATAGGAACGCAGAAAGGTAACCTTTCGCATTCCCTGGAATGCCTCGGGACGTGACAAATCATCTGTATATTACGCATCGGGAGTGAGAGCGGGCTGCCCTAGGTGGAGTATAAATTGCCATCTACTTTTCCTCAGATCCACCACCCCTTTGGTCAATTCCTCCATTAGAGCCAAAACACCTGAACCCCGTCCCTCCATGCCTCAAGTGTAGCACGATCTTGCAGAAGTGTTCGACAAAGCTTGGTGCTGGGTTCTTTTTCATGACAAAGAAAAAATCAAGGTGACAAACAAGTACCCCTCACCCCTCCTGTAAACTGAATTGGAACTCCTACAAGGCAACACCATTTTCACTAAACTGGACCTTTGTAATGCCTATTACTTGGTAAGGATTAAAGAGGGAGACAAATTTAAAACAGCATTCAAACACATCTTGCGCACTTTGAATACCTTGTTATAGCATTTTGTTTGACCAGTGCTCTGGCAGTTTCCCATTCCCTTGGAAATAATGTGTTTCAATACTTCATTTATCACTTTGTCTTTGTTTAGTTTGATGATATTCCCATTTCGTCTAAGACCCTCCATCATCATTAAAGCCATGGCTGTTTGGTCCTCTAGCACCATCTTAAGAACTGGCTCTGTGTTAGCGGTGAGAAATGTGAGTTTCACACATACTCTGTTTCATTCCTTGTTTTCATTGTGGTTAAAGGACAACTCAAATCTGACCCTGTAAAACACCAACTTTCTACAGTGCAGTTTTGAGATTCCTTTCCAGGCACCTCAACTCCCATTGAGGTTACTTGACAGTGTGAAGTAACCTCAATAGGTCGCCTAATAGGGTAATGCAAGGTCTCACAATGGTTTCACCTGAAACCTGTGGTGATATTGACCCACGCCTTTTTTCACACATTGGCTCAGAAGGGTTGGTTGTGTACAAAAACATTCGTTTACGAACTGAGAAACTGGGATCGAATTATACTTGTCCCTTTGAGTTGACTCTATCATTACTCCTGTCTCTGTCCGGTTGAAATGACCACAGAACAGGAAAAGTCACCATATTTTTCATGTCTCGCAGTCTGGATCAGTCCATTGGCTCCTCACAATTTTGAAAGTTTCTTTGCCTTGCCTGCAAAAGAGTATCTTACCTGCTTTTCCTGTGCTCAGATTTGCTTGGTGTCTGTAAGTAAACATTTGGAATTGAAATGGTTTGGATTCCAAGGAGAACCCAGACGGTGACTAGAACTCACACTCCTGGAGGAGTATGTTTTTCTGATATGATGAATGGTGAAATGTTGAATGGTGATGGTGACATTTGAAAGATAATTTTCACACTTTGGTTTTTATTTATTGCCAAATCCATGCCACATCTTTGTTATGTCTGAGCTATTTTTTAGCCATTTTGACATCTATCATTCCAGGAACTAACATCTGAGAAAATTGTTGATAAGCTGCCAAAATGGAAATGTCTGGATTTCTTGTCTCACTGTCTCACACGCACACTGTTATGTTTATGGGTGTGGATCTCTGTTTCATCATAGACTGCCCACATACACCTGACTGTGGAGATAGACCTGATGTTTGAATCATAATCTCTGTTTGGAGGGAAACTATGATGACTACTCATATAACGATGGGGTTATCAGCATGGTTTTTACACACTGTACTGCAAAGTTACCAAAACAAAAGCCAAAAGGATGTATAACAATGAGCATCAGCCTTTGATATCCATTCAGTCGTCTCAGCATGGTCTGGAATTTTTTCTTTTTTTTTGAATACTTCATTACCTCATTACCTTAAAAGGCAGCAGAAAGAGAGTACTATTCTTGAGAAGGAGGAAGAGTCCCTGAAGTGTTTGGGTAATTTCAGTCATGAAAACTCAACATTCAGTAGTAAAAGATCTTCTGCCTACAACAACCTCTGTGATTCAATCTCTGTGATTCATGCATCAGATCATCAAGCTGCAGTAACAAGTCATAGGTTGAGTTATCAGTTCCCATCAGGTTCAGCTGCAATCACAGTGGACAAACTGGCTTTTTAATGAGGTTTTCTGACTTCTGGAACAGAAGCATAAACATTGTAAGAATGCTGGAAATAGGTACTGTTACTACAGTAGAGTAGTGTATTTTGAAGCCTGTTTCTAAATATGAGAAATTTTAAAAAGTGACAATTTCAGTTTCTAATTGTAAAAGCATGAACACTATACCACTGAAGTATGATTCACAAAATATCTATGACGTTCAATGAATTTGCCCCAAATAAGGTTAAAAAAAACTCTTTTTTCTTGCTGTCATGCAGTCAAAATCCTGACGAGTCTCTGATTCATGTCACAACAGCACTCATATATATACAAAATGATGAAAATGCATACTTTCTTTTTTTTGGTTCTGTTGATGCATTACAAGCTCTCTTGTTTTCCAAGACAGTCATCGTGCCCCACTACCGGTGGACCTTATACAAGACTTCTTGTAATCCTTATACGAGACGATTGCGGATGACTGATGCAGTCTGTGTTAAAATCTGTTAACATCAGCTCATTGTGTAATGGAGTGTTGTAATATTGACCCATATAATTGCCCCCAAAATAGGTACTCATATATGCAATCATGGAGACACAAAAGAAATGATCATCATGTGGTGCATATTTAAACCATAGAAAAAACTTTTTTCAAAGTGTTTCATTTTATGTTTTCTTAAAAAATAAAAGAAGAAAAGAAGAAGGACCTAATAGACACTTAATAGATACTTTTTCATAACAGGTACTAACTGGTCATAGTTTACACATGTACTAGCTGGGGGTTTTTTTAGCATTGTTCAGTATATCTAAGACACAATCCAAACGATACTACCATCAGTGTCCAATACTGAAAAGAATGGCAGCACTGTTGTGCACCACATGCAAAATTGAGAGTAAACAGAGGGTTTGTTGACAGCACGATATATCTTGTTTGGGTTTAGCCTCAGGACACATTGCTCACTTATCAGTAGAAAAAATAATCTAGGTACTCCCTTTTGTGATGGATTCGATAAATATCTTCTGACTTGTGCTAAACCGCCTTAAGCAAAATTTACAGTGTCTGTTGTAATATAACTTCGAACAACATGCAAAATTAGGAAACATATTCAAAGTAAAATGACAAATATACAATAAATGTTTCATCTCCCTCCTGTTTAAATACATAGAGACAATATTGTCTGAATGAGTATCAGCAAAACACTGATGAAGAAATGCACTAGCATGATCCTACAATGATATGTACAGCAGTCAAAACTCACTGGTTTTATTATCCCTTACTGTTTCACTATTAACATAATATTTGGTTTAAAAATCTGTAGTTTTGGTATGTAATGTTTTGTAATGTGTCATCTCATAATCACAGAGTTGATTTGGGAATTTTCTATCTGTGCTGATCTTCTCCTCAGTCATGTCATCCTAAATATAACTATTACTGAGTCATCAGCTCAAGGAAGTAGTTGCTTAACACACCCACTCTACGATACTTCCCCTCCACAGCCTATATAACACCAGACGTCAATGTATGCACACAAGTCAAAACAGTGAAGAAGTATGAGGTCTCTCACCGGGTGTATTCTGTTCAGTCTGGCGACTGCAGTTCTCTCTGTGCCGCTTTCTGAAGTTTCTGTGGAAGATGAAAGTTTTGCAAAGGTATGTATATGTTTCCTTTGCTTGTCCTATAATTGTAACACAAGTCCTAGGATTATGGGGTATTAAGAATATTGTTCAGATCTCATGTTTTTTGACAGAACTACCTGAAGAAATTCTTCAACCTCACAGAGGAGGAGGGTCCAGCTGTCAGAAGGGGCATCAGCCCGCTGAACAAGAAGCTGGCTGAGATGCAGAGATTCTTTGGTCTCCAGATCACCGGGTCTCTGGATGCTGACACTTTGGCCATGATGAAGAAGCCCCGCTGTGGGGTTCCCGATGAACAGGTCGCTCGTTTCTCCATTTATGGAAAAAAATGGCAGAAACGCAGCCTCACATACAGGTGAATGATCTAAAGACACAACATAACACACAACGTGAGAAAATGTGACCACACTAATGATTTTCTTGATTATTGTTGTGCTCTGCAGGATAGAGAACTACACACCTGACATGTCTGTGGCAGAGGTGGATGCTTCCATAGGCAAAGCTCTGCAGGTGTGGGCCAAAGTCACTCCACTGAGGTTCACAAGGATCTACAGCGGCATTGCTGATATTAGGATCTCCTTTGTTCGCCGGGGTGAGTGCAAATCTTTTTCAGCAATGGAAGATGCACTCAGATAACATCATTAAAAATATGAGTCTAAAACAATAGAAAATAGAGTATGGATAGGTTACTCAGAATCAGAAAATCCTAAAGAAATGATGTACTTATACACACGATACCTCTAATCGGCATTATATTGTATTACATAGAGTTATATATGTTTTAGATTGACTGTTTGAATCCACTTGGAGATAACTATTTACCAAATGTTTCATGTCAATGTGTACACAAAATGGTTTGTAAATTTTGGCTTGTTTGCCTTATTTAACAGAACATGGTGATTTTAATTCCTTCGATGGGCCCGGTAACACTCTTGCCCACGCCTTTGCTCCCGGTGATGGTCTTGGAGGGGATGCTCATTTTGACGATGATGAATCTTTCACGTTCCGCTCAAGCCGTGGTGAGGTTTTCACTTATCATTTTTCCTTTTTTGATCTTTACGTGCTTTACGTGTGATTTTAGAAAATAACTGCATTGTCGCACTGTCCTGTAACCGGCCTGCCATTATGTGTTTTCGGCTTCAGGCGTCGTCCTCTTCATTGTTGCCGCCCATGAGTTTGGTCACTCTCTGGGCTTAGGTCATTCCAATGTCCCTGGTGCCCTAATGTACCCAACGTACTCCTACAGAAACCCTGACACCTTTGTTCTGCCTCAGGATGATGTTAGGGGCATTCAGTACCTCTATGGTGAGTACTGAGGGTCTGAATATTGCTTTGGTATTGCTGCTCGTTTTGACCTTTGGTGGATTGTGAAGCAGGGCTTCCCAAAACGTATCTTTTGAATTCTAGGTTCAAACTCTAGGAAGGATCCCTCTGTGGATGATCCCAAACCTCCCACTACTCCTGATGCCTGTGATTCTACCATGGTATTGGATGCTGTCACAACCCACAGAGGAGAGATTATCTTCTTCAAAGACAGGTTTCAGATATGCGCCGCAGCAGAGTGCTAAAACATCTAAATCCACAGTTTAGTAATGATTGTTTGATGGCTCATGTTTGCCTCTATTTATTATCAGCTTCTTGTGGCGTAGCTTCCCCCAGAGCCAGACTCCACAGCAAAGCCTCATCAGAAGCTTGTGGCCCAGTGCCCCTGTGGACATCGATGCTGCGTATGAGAGCCGACAGTTAGACACAGTGTTTCTGTTCAAAGGTACTGGTTTCTCCTTAACTATGTAAGAAACACATTCCATATTTTGGAATCTAACTTAAGCGTTTTCAATCGTTTTCTACAGGTCGCAAAGTGTGGGCCTTCACTGGCAACCAGCCCGTGCGGGGCTACCCTAAAACACTAACTGCTTTTGGTCTGCCAAAAGGAGTGAGGAAAATCGACGCTGCCCTTCATGATGTAAACTCTGGCAAAACTCTCTTCTTTGTAGGCAATAATTACTTCAGGTGAGTTGAAAGTTTACCAGTTCCAATTTTCACTGTGAACTACTCTATACTATTAACGTCAACTGGATCAATCTATTTTCTGTTTTTCTCCAGTTATGATGAGTCCAGAAAGACTATGGAGCAGGGATATCCCAGACTGGTGAATCAGGCCTTTGCAGGCCTGACCAGAAGAGTTACAGCAGCTTTCCAGCACAAAGGTGAGTGGTCCTCACTGCTAACCTGAAATTAGAGATTTTAAAAAAATGTCTTGTCAGACTAAAAGTCATGCTACTGTCATTCTAATTTCCACATTTTTAACATAACAGCAGAACCAGAAGCAGCTCTAAAACCTCTTGAAAACTCTTTAACTCTTAAACTATATGCTCCAGTGTAAAACCGAAAAGTAGCACCTACTTTATAATGAGTCTAAAAACATAACCTCCCCGAACAACAGTTAAGTATTAAGTACTGAGCTTAGAGACAGTAGTAGGTGGATTTTTTTGGCAAAGTCTGCTGGCTGTATTTATGCTTTAAGCTAAGCTAACCGTCTTTTAGTTTAGTATAACCAACACATGAAAGCAGTGGCCTCATGTATATCATTGAATTAAGACAATGTATTATTTTTGTGAACCATTTCTTTAACTAGTATTTAGACTAACACTAAGCCATTGTTCTGCAGGTTACACTTACATTTACAGTGGACCCTACATGTATGAGTACGACCTGGGGACTGGGACACGGCACCGTGTGTTGAGGAACAGTTACTTCCTGCGCTGCACGAACTCCTAGACGAATGGGTCTTTGTTTTTACAGTATGTAGTAATTGTGCAAACTAAGACAAAAATCTGTAAACAAAGCCTACAGTATTATTCAAGTACTTCACTGAAAACATTTAAACTGCACTTTTCTCAATTTCTTTTTAAACATATAATAAAAGTGGGGCTTAAGGAGTCAGTACTATGATCTATAAATATATGATCTACACATCCTTGCCTCTGCTAAATTATTTTGATCCCAGGTGGACACAAAATCTTTGCCCTTGCCTGAGTAATTCATTGTACTTTAACAACAGTTACAGCTCAAATAAGATTGTTTAGTGCTGCAAGTTTTGCTGAAACAAAACAAAACAAGTTTATACTGGAAACAACTAAATTAAAAACTGATATTGGTATCCTGATATGACTGAACACCCTCTAAAGATTTTGAGAATATTAAAGAGAAATTGAACCACTGACCAAGTAGTATTATGTTAAAGGGGGATTTAATACTGCATTGTGCTATAGCTGCAGAAGGTATGAGATTGATGAGCACTGCATTAAGTAATTAATTTTGAGAATATTTTAATGACCTTCTAAATGCAGCTTCAAATGTATTTTCTAAACGTGTTTTGTTGTAATTGCTCAGATGACTTCATTTTAAAAGGAGCATTCACTAATAAATACACGAAATGACTTCATTGTCTTTAGACTGTTGTTTCTTAACTATGATATGAAAAATGACTGTATGAATTTTAAATAACTGATGGCTACATGTCTTATTTATATAAAAGCTGAACTGTTTAAAAACATCTGATACTTTTTGGTTATTATATCCAATATAAATAATACATTCTCACACAATATAATAAATACATAACATGGCTTCTTGGCATAACAACACATCTGTACGGAGCAGAATGTCATGGTCATGGGTCATTGATTCAGTGCTTTGTGTTCATGGACTTCTTGACTAATCATTATGATGTTTCTAGAGTGACTCATATTTATTAGTTTAGCTTTTTTTGGAAAAAGGGGAAAAAACAACCTCTGCTTACCACACAGCCTGACACAGAAATCTGTACATAGACCCCCCCCCCCCCCACACACACACACACAAACACGGTGCTGATGAAATACCCTGATGTCCTGCTTCAAGGCTTTTCAGACTGAAATCAACATGTTCTTGTTGATGAAGTGAACATGCATGAACATGACGTAAATTCCTTTACATGCAGATCTAAGGAATATATCTCCCCCTATAGACACACACACACATTAACATTGTAATGCTGGTCTTATTCACAACACTGGCACTGAATATTTCCATAAAAAATATGCAACTAGCTCATTATAAGCTTTAAAGTCTTTTCCACAGCATTGAAACATAGCTGCTAATCATGTTAATAATCTGACCTTTGCTGAAGGTAAGCTTGTGCTCCATATTATAGCGAATACTTGGATTATAATTCTTTAGCTGATCAGATAATGATCAGCTTGCCGTGCAGGGAATTATGTGTCATTTTGCACGAAAATACTTTTGCATATTTCCAAATATGCTGACAACGTATTAACTGACTCATTGCACTCTCTAACCTAGTCTGAAATAGTTAATACCAGCAATTAAACTATACATTTTAAATTGTTATTATTTTAAGGGAAACATTAACCTAACCAAAGATACAATGGCATAAATTGGGCCTCCTGCTTCTTTGATTTCTTCTTCGTACTTTCCTGCCAGACAAAAAATGCATACTGGAAGCAAGGAAACAAAACATAAGGAGTGAGGGGATGAGTGAAAACACAACAAAGAACAGAGGGAGAAAGATGCAGGCAATATATACAGATAGCAGATAAGGATGGAAGAAGGAACAGGTGGGAAAACAGCTGACACTAATCATAGGGGACGTATATGGGAAGTGAAACTGAACGATGAGGGACTATCAAAATAAAACAGAAAACCAACACTGAGACATACCAGCTTGACACAGACAAAAAGGAAGACAGAGACAGGATACAGAGGGACCAGTCAGACATGGGGTAATGACTGGGGAACAGAAGATAAATAGACTACAGAGGACAAAATATATGACGAGAGAAAATAGCAATGCACTTGTAATACACACACCCCAGACTTAAATACAAGAGCCCAAACCTCACACGAAACCCAAAATACTGACTCAAAGTCCCTGGACCATGAGAGAATCAATTTATATTCTACAGCCATTTATTCATTAAGCAGAAACGTTTCCTACTGGCACTTAAATGAATAAACAATAAACAGTGGAACTGGAACCTGTGAAATACTGTAAAATAAAATATTTATTTATATTTTTTATTTCAAGGTAAATGTGATTACTGTGTGTTGATCTTAAAAAATATATATATAACCCAATATATTTTATTTAAGCAATACACATTGGATGTTGTGGATGAAACTACAATAACTACAATGCTTAGCCAAAGATGACGTAGGAAGCACACCTCCTCCTGTGATTGGCTGATGTGTTTATTCGTGCGCTGCTGAAGGTGAAGCGTTAGTCAGTTCTGTGTCTCAGTCCGAAATGTCATCCAGTGGACTTTTAACCATGCACGCTCAAATCTGTAAACGTCTGGTAAGTGATGGGCTGTGAAACTGTCATCTTAGGTTTGTGGTCATGTTGTTGTAAGAAACAGGAAGGCTAGGCTGGCAGCACAGGGCCCTGGTTAACTTCAAGTAGCTGTGCTAACCTTGCTCTGTGTGTGTGTGTGAGTAGCGTCCTTGGCAGGTTAAAGTAATGCAAACACCTGAAAACATACTGTACTTGTAGCTGGTTGGTCAGAGTACTTTAAAGAAGCAGTAGTAGTATGCTTTACTGGCTTCAATACAGTCGACAGTGTATCAGAAAGGACTAGTTGACACCAAAACAGGCTAGCTATAGCATCAGCTGCAGCTAGCTTAGCGCCCACAAAGAGTACCATTGAAACTCTAGCTCCTGTCACTTCATTAGGCAGCTGATATTACCTGAATACCTGCCTTTATTGTCATATTTTTCACGGTGACAGTTTTATTCTGGAGCTTGATTCTAACATGTGATGTTCGGGTCTGTGGGACACCTTTTCATTGTTTAGTAAACGTCAAGTTTTTCAGATTTATCATTATTTCAACAACGGCTAATTTTCTGTGAAGAACATAAAATAACCCATTTTAATGATCTCGCACTGTAATCGTGTTTGACACGTTTCGCCCCAGTTATGACAGATGGCTTAGCTGCTGCTTCTGGACAGGTGAAGCGGCAGGATTTGGGTTTGTTGTTGTTGTGTTTGTTTGTTTGTTTGTTTTTCCCCGGGACGGAGTCATGTGCGCTGGTGTTTGTAATTATTAAGTGAATGTTTTTTAATTAAGACAAACGGCCACATGCACATGTAAGAAAATTAATACTAGATCTCTCATTGTTATTTATGCTGTGGATTGTGAAGACTAATATAGAGTATTCATTCACTAAAACACCAGAAAGTGTAATTGAATAAATATGATTTTATTGGAATTATTACTTGCTCATGCAAGTTTTTTACTTTTAACAGAAAATGATATTTGCTGCATCAAGTGGCTTCACACACAGTCTAACATCCTGCACATTCAGAAACTTATTATTTTGACTGTAGTAATGAAACCAATGAAAATTAAAGAATTGTTGTGCTATTACTATAAAATATAATTTGTTACTATTTTTTTTTTTTAAATAATTGTCATTACAAATGAGTCCTTGACCTCAAAAAACAAAAAGAGAAACTTCTCTTTCTTTTTTTATTCCCACTAATACTCTCGGTGTAATTGTGTCATAAAAAACAGGAGAGCTGCATGCAGATGCAATTTCAGTGTGATTAAAAACGCAGACGCAGACTGACACGTTGCAAAAGTTCAGGAGCAACCTCTTAACTGTGTTGTGTTTGCTTAGATTCAAAAAGGCATCAGAGCTGCTTCTAGCTTTGTTTGGCAGTGTGGAACAACCTGATGATGGAAAGTGTCAGACGACTAAAACATCAACTAAACGCATCCAAACTCTTTTTTTTTTTACAAAGCTGAGGAGGTGACTTGGAGGGAAAAAACCAGGCCAACTCAGTCTGAAAGCTGAAAACCTGTGTGGCTGTCACATTCAATATAGCCCTCGTTTGTCAGTATGTTTAATTCTATAAATTGTTTTAAGTAAGTACTCTGCTCTTTACAGTCACAGCTTGTTGTCTTTAACAGTCTCAATGTTTTTCTTTCCCTGTTTGTGTGGGATTTAGCCGCGATAACACATGCTGTTTTCATAATTATCAATAGCCTGATATAACAAGTACCCTTATTTAGACTTGTGAAGCAGCTGCCTGTGTTATTGTTTCACAGAATAGGATTATGAGACTGTGTCAATAGTTAAAAGTGGCCAGCAGATGTTCTGGTGGAGACGGGTGTCAGAAAGTTTCAAAGCCTCAGGACGTTTAAACGTTTCACAAAACCTGTTTCTACTATGTGGTGTACATATGGTAAATGGCCTGTATTTGTATAGCGCTTTTACTAGTCCCCCTTAAGGACTCCAAAGCGCTTTACACACACATTCATACACTGGTGGAGGCAGCTACAGTTAGCTGCCTCCAACTGTCCTGGGGCAGACTGACAGAAGCGAGGCTGCCATATCGCACCAACACCAGTAGGCGGTAGGTGAAGTGTCTTGCCCAAGGACACAACGACCGAGACTGTCCAAGCCGGGGCTCGAACCGGCAACCTTCCGATTACAAGGCGAACACCCAACTCTTGAGCCACGATCGCCAATGTGTGTTTTGTGTTTCTGCTCGTGCTTTTTCCAAACGAGGTTCAAACATTTCAGTCACATTCATCTGCCTGTTCTCGCATTCTTGTAATTCTCCATATCGTTGAAAGGATTCTCTGAGGAGTTTTAGGACTTTTAGATAAGAGAGAACATTTGGAAGATAACAGATGGGAAGAGTTTTCAGAACGTGAGTCATTTTGCCTTTATTGGATAGAACAGTGCAGAAAGTAGACATCAGCGCAGGGCGAGAGTGAAGGGGTATAACACACAATAAATGATCTGGGGCTCTAAATTCCATACGTTGGTCACTTCCTCAGCCAGGTGAGCCAAAGCAGCACCATCAGTTCAGAGTCTGAAAGTGAGCACGAAGACAGGATTTGACACTGAACACCTGCCCCAAAGCAAACCCTTGGATATCAAAAATGGTGACACTGAATAGTCTCCTCGCCCAAAGAATGAGCCATTGAGCTTGACTGGTAGCATCGTGCAACCAGGGCCAAGACAAATGGTGGTCCATCTTGTGGAGGGCATCAAAGCTGATTTTTACTCTTCATCCTAGATCCCATCTACAAATATACCAGTGTCAGTAGATGTTCCCTGATTTGATCCTTAGCAACAGAAAGACAAGCTGCAATGTGTGTTTTAGAGGTGGACGGCAAGTAGTACATATGTAACACACACTGTTGTATAGGGTAGCACAAAAAGGCTGCTTGTAGATGATATATCAATCTGTTGAAAGATAT